CTTTCTGTTCTGTGGTCCTGGGTGTGACTTGGTTCCACTGCTGCCGCCATGGCTCCTGGGGTCAGTGTCAGCACCACTGTGCCTCTGTTCTAGGAGCCCTGTAGGTAGAGTGGTGTTTGTGGTGGGCTACTAACCAAAAGGTCAGCAGTTCAACTCCATAGCAACTCCGAAAGGAAAAGATGAGCCATGTCCTCTCGGAAAGTCTAGGGAGTAGTTCGACTCCCTCCAGTAGGGTCTCCGTGAATCAGAACAGACTCGATGGCAGTGGGGTTTTGTTTGGCTGGTGCCTCATATTCACAGGCCAAGCAATTCTCATCTCCTTACCCCCAGGGCCCCTGCTTGGGAGTCCACCACCCACACTGCCTCCTTTTCCTCCAGGACGCAAATCAGTAGGCTGTGGCTGACCTTGCAGACCCCTTCCAGCCAAACCGAACTCACTGCCATTGGGTGGATTCTGACTCACAGGGACCCCGTAGCAGCAGTGTAAACATTTTCCTCCTCAGTGGTTTGCAGCCATCGGCTCCTAAGCATGCCTGATCCCGGTGTCTGTGGGTCTTGATATGTGGGACAGTCCAGTCCATCTCAGCTCGAAAACCGCTGCCAAGACAGACATCCCGCAGCCTCTCCGTGCAAAACTTCCGCAGTCTTCACGGACCGGCGGTGTGTGCTCCCATTGAACACGTAGGTCGAGTCCGGTGGCTGTCACATGGAAATGGCCCTATGTGTTGGTGTCAGAGATGTGTCCAGCTGAACCAAATGTCAGTGTGTGGGAGGACTTCACATTTCCTCCTAGGGAAGCCTGGTCTTCTTCCATTGTAACAGCATCCTCTATTTTTCTTTTGGTCAAGGCTCCATTAGATGTTTAATGTATTTTTGTACTGCTCAGCCCAGCCTTTCATGCCAGCGCTGCATTTTGATCCTGGATGTATGTGCTTCTTCCGTGGTTTGCGCGCTGTTCCAAGATAAACAGCCCGGGATGATTTCTTCTCTTTCTCATAACAGCAAGAGCAATGGCTGCCCCACTGACATAGTGAAAAAGCCACCTCCAAGTCTAGAGCAGATTTGGACCTGCTAAGGTAGCAGCTTCCAGGTTAGACTAAGTAGCACAAAGTAACAGAGACGCATGTTTGTATTCATAGTACTAGGGGTTTCAGCATGCTTAGGATTATCCCAGAAACCCTTCACTCATTTCCAATCTCCACCATCTTTCCCCCTGCTCAGAAAAAAGCACAACTGCAAATCTTGAAAGTCTAAAATCAAGAAAAATAACACTCACTGTTTAAGCTGATATTTCTCCTGACTGATTCATGCAATGTTATGCCTTGTTTTATGGAGGTATGTGTGTATGGATACATCAACATACATACATATATGCCTATATGTGTGTGCATGTATCCGTAGCCATATGTGTATGCATAGACGTGCATGTGTGTGCAAGTATGCATAGATGTACATATATATGTGCGTATCTGTGTATGTATGCATAGATGTATATAGATATAACTGTATATGTATATGCATAGACATGCGCATATGTGTGGATGTGTGCATATACATAGACATATCTGTATGTGGTTGTGTGTGTATATGCATAGATGTAAATATATATATCTGTGTATGTGTGTGTGTACATTTTTTCCTTGTGAACCTTATTAGAAAATGATTCATAAAGACCATGATATAACTATGATTTTTTTCATTGGGTTAAAATGTATTGCTCAATTCTATATAGAATTATGTATGGACTGTGTAAACCAATTACTGTTTATCATCCAAGTGTTATTGATTCAGAAGGTTAGTTTAGTACACAGAATTACCATTCTCGGTACAAGTGAGCCACACACAGAACTGCTGACCTTCAACCACTGCGCAGGAGGATTGGAGACTGTCTAGTCCTGTAAAGAACTGCAGTCTCGGAAACCCAAAGGCACAGTTCTACCTTGTCCTGTAGGGTCGCTGCGAGTCAATTCCAACTCAATGAGTTTGTCGGGTTAAAAAGAAATTCTATAAAGTTGTCCTGGAAACTATCATGTATTTATATATTTCAGTATAAATTGGGATTTAAAATTTTTTTCTTTTTTAAATTTGGAATTTTAGAACAGCCCTGGATCATTTATCATAATACCCATGAATCTAGAAGGATGAGCTACAAAGTTACATTTTGCAAACTTCAGAGTAATAATTGATTTCAGGAAAGTAATCAATGGATGCTAGAACTGCTGGGTAAAAAAAACATTGGAGGAGCCAGGGTATTTACGTAATCTCAAACAATCTGCCCAGAGCTGACTCATTATGACAGTGACAATCCCAGTGGAGAAATCTAGCAAACAGCCCCTAATGGAGAGGTCAATATGATCATGTATCAAATGGACACTGGGTCCCTCTGTGAGGCTCTAACAAGGAAACTGGTGGGTTTCCTTGAATTCATTCATTCAGAATGAATACTCTGAATCGGAGTTGAGGGCACTGTCCACTGAGAGTGTGGATGGATCTAGATTCTGAAATATCAGTGTCACGACAAAGTCTAAGGCACCCATGATTAGAGGAAAGGAACCCAAACTAGCTTAAATGGTGAGTTCTGACCTCTCCCCTCCCCACACTGCGATGGAGCATCGCCTAAAAAGAAGCTGGTCCCTGGCAGTCTGCTCAGAAGGAGGTGGTAGCAGGATGTATACCGAGTCCATCACTAAGCACGCTGTTTTGTTCTCTTGGCCTTTGTCCGTATCAAGACTTGGCCGATGAAGGAAGCCGCGTGTTCATTTTACCTTGTGGAGGAGACTTCTTGTCTCGCAGCAGACCGGCATTGAAACATTTTATGAACCATTTGATGTCTACTTTAAAACACTCTCTTAAAGCACAATAGGGAGACAGTTGGCTTCAGGTGAATATGAAATGTGTGGAAGGTAATAGTTTAGTATCGGTGTTAACATTTTCTGGTTATTTTAGAGAATGCCCTTGTTCTTAAGAGGCATGTGCTAGAAATCCTTACAGCAGGGGTCCTCAACCTTTTTAAGCAGGGGCCAGTTCGCTGTCCCTCAGACCGGTGGAGGACCGGACTATAGTATTAAAAAAAACTATGAACAAATTCCTATGCACACTGCACATATCTTATTTTGAAGTAAAAAAACAAAACGGGGCAAAAACACTCGGTGGGCTGGATAAATGTCCTCAGCGGGCCGCATGTGGCCCGCGGGCCGCATTTTGAGGGCCCCTGCCTTACAGTGAACGGTCATGGTGTCTGGAGCTTGCTCTCCCAATTGTTAGCAAAACTCCCTGGCCATGTGTGCCTGTGTGTGAGTATAGAGAAGTCAGCTGTAGAAACGGGGCCAAATCTTGCCAATTAGTGGTTCTAGGTGAAAGGTATTAAAAAACCAAACTCACTGCCATCGAGTCAGTGCCAACTCTTAGTGACCCTCAGGACAGGGTAGAACTGCCCCTGTGCGTTTCTGAGACTGAAAAAACGAGCTCTTCATGGGAGTAGAAAGCCCCAGAGTTCTACCGAGGAGGGGCTGGTGGTTCAAACGGTTGACATTGCAGTTAGAGGCCCAGGGTATAACCACTATGCCACCAGGGCTTCCCGAGGGAAAGACACTCTCCGTAACTGCTCTTTGTCCCCTACTCGATTTTGAAATGTTTACAAGAAAGTTTGACGAGAGAGAGACAATCGGGAAATGAGCGTTCTAATGGGATAGCTATCAGCCATAGCAACTGAGCGATCTATCTAATGAGCCCGGGGACCAATGGAAGGTCTTATGACATCCCTGTTGTGTGAGTCATGTTTGGGGAAGTGGAGGGGCAGCGAAGGAGCGGAAGGCCCTCCAGGAGACCGATGGACACTTTGGCAGCAACTGTGTGCTCCAGCCAAGGAGTGATGGTGAGGAGGGCACAGGTCCAAGTCATGTTCTTCTGTTGTGCGTGAGGTCCATCCTTATGGGTCCGAACCGATGCAGTGGCAGCTGACAACAGCAATTAACCCAGCCACATGCGGGAGCTTCGAAAAAGTTCATGGGCCACAGAAACGTGGGTGAAGGGAGACAGCCGTCGGTGTAAGATATGAAAGCAAGAATGATTTATAATTTAGTAAGGGGTCATAAGGGCGGTGATGAGAGGGAGGGCAGGAGGGAAAAAAGAGCTGATACCAAGGGCTCAAGAGAAAGTAAATACCTAAAAAAGAATGATGGCAACATAGGCACAAATATGCCTGATACAATGGATGTGTGGATTGTAATAAGAGTTGTAAGAGCCCCCAATAAACTGATCTTTTAATAAAAAAGAAAAAAAAAACATTTTCAAATACACACACACACACACACACACAAAAGAGCTGTAAGAGCCTCCAATAGAATGATTTTTTTAAAAAGTTCACGGGGAGATGGAATTTTAAAAGGATGGAATTTTTTCATGTACTCTTTGAAACTCCCACATACTTCTTATATGGCAATCTGTTGTTGCTTCTGAGGATGACTGTTTGTACTGGGGAAAACAAGTCAATTGAACTATCTAATTTATGCTTTCCGCTATGAAAACCAGGTTTCTGAACAGGAAATGGATGAAGTCATCGCACGCAGCACTTCCGTGGAGAGCAAGGAGGCCGGCCCCTCTCCTGGCTCAGGTATCGTAATTAGATACTCCCATTCAACGCTCAGAAGAGCTTCTCATTATTTCCCCCATGAGGCACTTCTTGGTAATAAGGCAACAGGAACTGTCCAGTAAAGTCTACCCTTTTAATTTCTGCAGTGATTTAATGAGTTTCATCGAATTGCTCATTGTACATCCCTCTCCTACTACTTTAAAATAATTTCCAAAAGTGATTGTGCCGCATTTCATGTGCCTAAGGTATGATTCATCTGTGTGATGCTGCTGACAGTGGCATGACACCCAAACATCAGTTGTCTCGTCTGTGCCTAGTCTTCTCCATCACACCTGGGATTTCTTGACATAAATCCAGAGCTTCAACTCAAAGTTGAGTCATCAAAAGTTGCGAAATTCACACTTTTCTCCCATCTGCATTGACTTAGCGTTCTATAATTTCTCTCTCATTTCTAATAACCACGATGATGGCTACACAGAAACACACAGGCAAAATTCGTGATTAAACGGTTAATTAAGGAAGGTAACAAATTGGCATGCCAATGAGAAATGCTCATGGTAGTTGTTTACCATAACGTGTTACACATTTCAGGTCAGCCAATAAATGCCCACAGGGGCAGACCACTATGCTGTAAGCCGCAGCCGTGGGTCAGCAAGTCCAACTGCCCCCAATTAAGTGCCCAGAGGCCTCCCTACTCCGAAAGCCATCCTCTTATACGAAAGCAGTCATCTGTACTTGCTCTCTGGGTGGGGAAGTACCTCACTCTGTCCCATGCTCGGCATCCTGGTTCTGCTGCTGCTCCTCTGAGAGTATAGCTATCTTCTGGGTCGGGGGTGGGGTGGGGGGGTTGGTTCACTCTGCTGGGATCTCCTTGGATCCAGAGGGCTGACTACTCCTGGCTCGTGCTGGTAATGAGAGCCCTCCTCCTGCTTCTCAGAGGGTTCATTATATAGAGAGCAGAGTGGCATACTAGGGAATCCCATTGGCAATTACTTACAGGTAAATGCTAGCAGTGTCTTCCTCACCTCACCAGGTGCATGCAGGGAAAAGTCATTTGCTGGGAGTTAGAGACTTTGGTTAGAAGAGTCACATTCAGTAACTTCACTGTCCCTGCACCACCGTAACTGGATAAGGTCAGGCAGAGAAGTAAGAAAGAAAGAGTTGTTTGTTAGTTTAAACCATGAAACCGTGCCTCCAGGTTTGAAACTATTGTTTCCTGGTGCCTTGGAACCCCAAGGGAAATTTCATGCTGTTCGGAGCTTGAGTGCTCACTGGTGTTGATACTCAGGAGGGAATGGAACTGAGATACTGCCCATCAGAGGGACAGGGAGGCACAGGAATTTGGAGGCAGTGTTTTCTGCTTGAAAACACTCTGATCATTTGCATCTGCAATGAATATGTTTGAAGGGAGCACACACTGCAGGCTCTTTATTGAGTTCGTGAGCCTGACCTGCCTGCAAGTAATGGTCTTGCTTCCCCCACCTCCACCTGATCCTGATCCTTAGTAAAGAGACTTTACCAAGTCAGGATCCTCATGACCAATGTCTTGTAAGCCAGTGACCTATAGCTTAAAGCCTAAACACTCAGCCTCTTCATCCTGCAATTAAGAACCTAAATAGAGAGCCAACCCTCAGTCATGTTGTCCTTGAAGGATGTTGACTGATTCATTTATCCTGCAGTCCACTCAGCAAATGTCACTGAACACAGGCTTGTGGGGCAGTACCCGGACTGGTGAACATCTCTGCTGTGTAAGAAGGGAATCAATAAGGGCGATGAGAGAGACAGCCGCTTATTCGTGTTTACAAGTTTTATGGAAACTGATGTGTGTGTAGTATAAAATGCTACACATTATACTAGAAATTCAGAAGAAGAACCTCTTTGCAGCTGGAATCGTTCTGGAGGCAGTGAGGACTGGACTTAGAGGATGAGCAGATTCTTGGGGGATGGCGTGGAATGGGCATCTGGGTATCCACATAGAGTGCACATACTTACGTAACCCACTCATGTGGCCCAGAAGCACCAGTCCATGAGAGAGAATTGTTGGAGATGTTGGCTCGTCCTTTCTTTATGTGAAGGTTGTGAGCCTACTTGTGATTTGAGCTTTGTTTCACCAACAGGTACTCCCTTGAAGAGTCCTTCTCTTACAAAAAAGGTAAGTCAAGAAACACCTCCTGCCTCATTCAGCTTGGCTTCCAACCACTTCCCACCAATACATCAACTCTCGGGGACCCCTTAACTACATCAGAGCAGAACTGTGTGCCCGAGGGTTTTCAACGGCTGAATTTTCAGAAGTAGCTCCGCTGATCTTACTTCTGAAGTCCCTGTGGGAGGCCCTGACCTGTATGTAGCCTTCTGGTTAACGTGTTAACCGTTTGCACCACCTACGGAGGATGACAAAAACTCTTCCAAGAGCCCATGATTCACGACTGAGGGCTCAGCCCATAGCTCTTTGGCCTCTTCGTCAATTTTGTTGGTTTACATAGAATATCATAATGATGCTGATCCGAGAACCAAGATCCGTGCGTGCGTGCGTGTTTTCAATTCGTGCAGGACATAAACAGCCACAAAATAAAAGAACTGACTTGGAGTTTGAAAAATACTGTTTGTTTTCAAGCTGCCTGGTGATGATGGGGTGGGACACCGGCCGGCTTCTTTGAGACCTGAGTTCTTGAATCTTGGGATGCTTGGTTGGAGTCCTGCTTTTGTTTCACTCACTGGCTGGACTAGTGGCTTTGTTTTGCTGTTTGTTTGTTTGGGTTTTGTTTCCCTACACAACTTCCTCCAAAGTTGTTTTTGGTTTTATTATTTTTGATACAACTCTTGCTTTTCAGATCATTGCCATGTTGTCTCCTCCAGATACCTAAAAACATTGCCTGGCAGGAACAATAGCCTTTGGTTTTTTGGTTTTTAGTCATTGATTATTTCATTTCCCCATGCTAAGTGGTGGCGTACTGGTTATGCATTGGCTGCTAACCACAAAGTCAGCAGTTCGAAACCACCAGCCACTCCTAAGCAGATAGACAAAGCTTCCTACTCTCATAAAGAGTTACTGTCCGGGCAGTTCTACCCTGTCCTGTAGGATCACTATGAATCAGAATAAGCTCGATGGCACTGAGTTTGGGAAGGTAAATAGATGGGTGCCTTTCATCATAGCTCTCTCAAATGATCATGGGTTACAAACAGTACTCTTAGAAAGATAGAAAGTAATTACAGGGTTCCAATATGACACCTGTAATTCTGACATCAGTCAGCCACCTCAGGTTTTTATTAATTGTTTTATTATTGCCTTTTATTATCAGTATCTATATAAGCCTCATCTTTGTCTTTGGGGGTTGGAGACATGACCTCTCTGAATGATAACCTCAGTAAACAAGGTGCTGCAGCGTAACATGCACTCGCTGTTACTACCAGATAAGAGGTAGCCCTCATCCTAAGTCGAGCCGTTGCTATGTGCTGAGAGGGATTGCTCGTCCTAACTCGAGGACTGGGGTACTGCTCATGAAACATCTCGCCGTTTAAAAGGCTCAGTGCCTGCTGCCTGTGTCTGCCATTCAACATTTGCTTCTTTCAACAGGACTCGCTGATTTCGGAATCTGAATTCTCCCACTACTTTGCCCACGACGTCCCAGGCCCCTTGTCAGACTTCGTGGTGGCCGGCTCTGAGGACGAGGACCACCCCGGAGGTGGCTGCAGCACTTCGGAGGATGGCAGCCTGCCCCCCAGTACCCCCAGTAAGCAGGACAGCCCCCCAGGGCCCTGGGTTGTGCGTTCCATCAGAAAGACCGTTTGAATATTTTCTGACTCTACGCTTGGCTACAGAAAAACCATGCCTCTGGTTAAACAGAAGCCATTTCCTACCTTGGCTAAATAGAGTTTATTCTTGGGGAGAGTGGCCACTGCTAAGGAATGGGCACTCCACTACACAGTAATATGGGGTGAGAAGGGAGCGCTCTATGGCCAGGTGTTGAAGGGACCTAAAGCCGTTTGACCCCGTTTAAGTCTCTTAGACTTTCAGTTGATGCCATCAGATCAGGCTAAGCTTTCTTTACCTGTTAGAATAACCTTCTGGACTAATCCCTCCCTTGATTCTATGTAGAATTTCACTAGGTGAAACACTGAGAACTGGTTTTTAAAAAGATGCCATCTAGAGTGTTTTAAATCTCTTTGATCATCTGCTTTAAATAACAAGAGGCAGCAATAATCCGATGTGAATAGCGCTGATTTCTCAGGTGTCTGCTGGTACTATTTCCTGTTTATTTGAGGCAACTGAATAAGAAAATCCCCCATCCTCGCTGTCAGGTGAGCTTTGGACTGGTAACTGCAAGATCAATGGTTCACACCACCAGGCGCTTGGCAAGAGAAAGATGAGACCGTCTGTTCCCATAAAGATTCACAGCCTCAGAAACCCCCCCAGACTCAGAATTGAGCAGAATTGACTCGGTGGCGGTGGGTTTGCCGTTTGGAGGGAGTCTTCCCACTGCCCTCGGGTCGATTCTGACTCACAGCAACCCTGTAGTGCAGAGCAGAATTGCCCCTGTGGGTTTCCAGAACTACCTCCTTATGGGAGTAGAACGTCCTCTTCTTTCTCCCAAGAAGCACCTGCTGGTTTCGAACTGCCAACCCTGTGGTTAGCAGCCCAATGCATTCCAGCACGCTCCTTTGAAGGAAATCTTCTAAGAGACAGATGACAGTGGAGCAGCATGTGCAGTGATGATGGAAACATCACAGTGGTGAATTGCTCACTACAGTGAGCAGGAGCTTGCAGAACAGTGGGTGCCTCTGTTTCCCTCCTGGGGTGGAGTGCAGATGACTGGCTTGGAGAGGTCGGACACCTCCAGCTTGGGAGGATCACGCTCTGGGCTGGCCCCGCTCTAGGAGCGTGTTACCAATTCAGCCCCGACTCATGGTGGCCCCAGGTACAGCAGAGCGCCTCGCCCCCTGTGCAGCACCATCGCCACCTTGGCTGGCACGCTGGAGCCCTTGCCACCGTGCACTGAGTGCCTTCCGAACGGGACTCTCACCTCCCAGCACACTGTGAACCAGCACTCCTGGGATCCGCAGGGCTTTCAGTGACAATCTTTAGGCGTAGGTCACCCAGGCTGGCTTTGTTTTTTGTAAGGCATTTGCATGTCAATGTCCTAACAGTTTTATTGACCTATAAGTCATGTACCAAAGAATTCAATGCCTTAACTCTATTTAAAGAGAGTGGTGTGGTCATCACAATGTTAGAACATTTTCTTTAATTATGTTCTCATTATTAGTAACTGCCCATTTCCCTCCGACCTCCCCTGCCGTAATCCTAAGAAACTCTTCATCTAGTTACTGTCCCTATACATTTACCTATCCTGGGTTTTATATTAAAAAAATCGTACCAAAAGCACGCCAACAACAATAAAGTAAGACACAGAACACCCTCAATCTAAAACAGAAAATAATTAAACAAAACAAATTAAAAATAGGTTAAAAGGGAAAACAAATGATGAAGTGTTCAATGCTAAGCTGACTATCTTCTTCAGTCCACATTCCAATGCCGCTGTCTGGCAGCAAGGCTGTGCGACTCCCAGTCAATGGTCCAAAGACATTCAAGGGAGGCGTAATCCCTGTGGGAACTATGCAAATCTGTTTTGGGTTTTCACTATCATCCATAGCCTTTCACAAACCAAGTGCTCAGATTTTAAGCTCTTACATAGATCTCTCCTCTGAACTTGAATTTTATTCTTTACAATTCTTGGGTTACACAGGCTCATGTGCTTCTGTGTTCACGTGGCCGACACCCCAGTAAGATGGCTGTTTGCTTTGAGGCAAGTTTTCCAGACCCCATGTGCTCCACTTTCTGATAGCCGGGCACCATCTAATTTCTTCACCACATTTGCTATAGCATCCCTATCTTCCGGATCACCCAGTCTACCTTTGTCGTCTGAATTAGTCTGGAAGTGCCACAGAAACCTATACATAACTTTAAGCATCACAGCAATGCATGAGCCACCATAGTACAACAAAGGAGCAAATGGGTAGTGGTCTAAGATCTCATGTACCTGTTAATTAACCCTCCCTGCCGCCACCACCACCTTTGTTTGTTTCCAATAAAGCAAGCTCTCACAGGGCTAAGAAGGCATAGGTGCGTGGGACTTGCTGTTGGCACCACCCTTCTAAACAGGCATTCTCAGGAGCAGCATTTAGTTTGACCAGTGATGTGTTAGACATCTGGGAGGTTGAGGAATTACGGGCTTCTGGGCAGCACACATGTGTAAGTGATATAGGCAATCAAGAATGGGGGTGAAAGGCATCAATATGAGAGGGACTGTCCACCCACTAGAACTCTCCAGGAGCCACATCATTAAGTGTGGTGGCCAGTGGCCAGGGTTGTGGACCTGAAAATGCTCATGTGCAAAGATGATGATAAGCACTAAGCCTGGGCCAACTGGGAAACTTGGTTTTAATGGGACTTTTCTGTCCCACCTTCACTCCACACCCACCCCTCTAGCTCACAAGGAGCCAGGAAAAGCCAGGGCCAACAGCCTCGTGTCTCTTGGAAGCCACCGGGGTGCTGGGCTCTTCCACAAGCAGGTGACCATCGCCAGGCAAACCAGCCTCCCTGGAAGCCCGCAGGTCCCCCGAAACCCTCTCCTCCGCCAGAGAAGGGTGGGCTGCTACGATGCCAGTGATGAGGAAGACTTTGATGGAGAAGGGGACTGTGTTTCACTCCCAGGAGCCCTACTGGGTCCCAGCAGGCCCCAGGCAGAAGATGACACCAGGGGAGTGACTGCAGCGTGGACCAAGGTCATGGATCTCAACAGTCGGGAAGAGAAACACCCCCAGAAAACACAGGTCAGCAAGGCCTTCTCAGCACCTCTCCTGGGCAGCACGCTGGATTCGGAGGGCACAGTGAACTGTCCTGCCCAGGAAGCCAACCTGCTGGATGCCACTAAGGCCCCCCAGGGCAGCCCTGTTGGCCCCGAGAAGGAGCCATCAGAATGGAGGAGCTCACCCAAACTGGAAGACCATGCTGGGGCACGTGCCCAGAGTCCCCCGCAGGAGAGGAATGGACACCACGGGTTCAGGCACAAGCCGGTGGCCAGGGTCAGCCCGCACTGCCAGAGGCCTGTAGCAGAGGTCCTGCCCAGGGGCTTGGAGACAGCAGGCCTGGCAGACAGCACCCATGAAGCGTGTCCTCCAGACTCGAAGGTCCAGACGACTTCTTTGAAAGTGACCGTCACTGGCTTCCAGCCAAGCGGACCTGCCGAGAGGGTAACTGACTTTCTCTTTCTGATTCTAAATGTGACTTGCAGTGTGGAAAAGCCCAGGGCCTTCACATGCGCCGGCTGCTTGGGGGCCGCAGGGGGTGGGTAGGAAGAAAGCGTCCTGCTTTTGAGTGCTGCGATCATGAGGGCGCAGGCTGAGGGGTAGGGAGTGTGATTAATGACAGTGAAGGAAAGCCCTGGCTCTGGCTTCTCCACTGTGAGCTGGAGGGAGAGTGGGGGCGCTTTCTGAGCCCACGTGCCTCTGCCCTGCTCCCCTCACAGCGTGGAGGTGGTCTGTCATCCGCACTGCCATTGAGTCCGTCCTGACTCAGCGCCCCCTACAGGACAGGGCAGAATTGCCGGTGGGTTTCTGAAACTGTCACTGTTTATGGGTGTAGAAAGCCTCATCTTTCTCCCCCAGAGAACATGGTGGTCCCGAACTGCTGACTTTGCAATTAGCAGCCCAATATGTAACCCACTGTACTACCTGGCCTCCGCACAGTCGTAGTAACCGTGGAATCTATGGCCACGGTAATTAACCTCCAGCTGAGAGTGACCCTTGTTTTTTTTCCAAATGTTCCACCATGCTTTTGTGTAATTGGAACCACTCATCCCCTTCTTTGTCACATGAACTCATGGAAGTACACTCACTTTGAAATCTAAAATGCGCCACCTTTAATGCACGATGCTATTATTTATGCTGCTGGTTGGTTTCAAGTATCTGAGGATGTCCCAAAATTACCATATTGCTCGTTTTCTGGATTTCCATATACCTCCACTTCAGCAAGGAGCAAACAAAGGAGCTTGTGATTTCTGATCTCCTCAGCATAAACCGTGCCCTCTTTCTGAACATGAAGATTGGGTAAGGCCACATGTATAAGGACGTACTCGAGTGGTCTATATAAACCTCCTCGGAAATCAACCCAGAGGAGCCCTGGGGGCGGAGCAGTAAGCCGCTAAAGCAAGGTCAGCCGTCTGAACCCACCAGCCAATCGGTGGGGAAGGGGCGGCCTTGTGCTCCTGTAAAAGTTTAAAAGCCCCCGCACCCCACAGGGGCAGTTGCTACTCCGCCCTAGTGTGGCGCTGTGAGTTGGACTGCACTTGAGGGCAGTGAGTGGTTTTCAGGAAACTAAGAATAAACAGAAAAACTAAAGTAGCAGGAAGGCTACTTTTTAACATTACTAGAAAAATAAGTAAAAACACACATCTTTTTCCTCAAAAAGCAAGTTGCTACCTCCAATCACCCTATGAACTTAATGAAAATGTCAAAGCCAACGGGTCAGTTCTTTCTTAAATTCTGACTTTCAAATATCAAGTTTTAGATAACCATAGAAAGCCTGATCAGGATTAGTATTCTATTAAAATAAGAGATTTGGCCATTGTGACCAAGTATTCCTCCTTTTGGGCAGCATCTAAAACTCTTACACAAGAGGCATAATTTGTCCAAAGATGACTAGTCCTGAGGTATTTGTTGTCGAGTATTGAAAGCTTTCAACATTCTTTGGGTAAATGGATCCACGTCTGTGGTTTCATATTCCATTTCACACAAAGTTAAGTCCCACAAGCTTTCCCTCAGTGGGTAACTGACAATTGTACTAAATGGGGTTTTGTTTGTTTTTTACAAGAGCCACTGCAAGACGGGGTACCTTTCTTGCTTTTACTGCCCTCCTCTGCTGCCACCTATGGGCCACCTTTGTCACTCAGGGTACAATTCAAAAGAATCCAGCAGTTGAACTTTTTTGAGCCATATATTTATTGCTCATCATTTTGCCGTGGTTGTAGATCTAACCATCTGTTAGATGAAAAGGAGAAATTGACACTTGGAACCAGATGAGTTCTCTCCCTCACTACCAAGCTGCGGAGTAGAGTTAACCATTTTAGCTCTCACTGGACAATTACTAGGACACTGTGTATTTAGCCTTTGATATGCTACATACTGTTTTGATACTATCTCGTCATCTTGTAAGTGTCTAAGAATTAAGACAGGAAGCCCTGGTGGTACAGTGGATTATGTGTTGGGCTAATAACTACAAAGTTAGCGGTTTGAAACCACCAGACGTTCTACAGAAGAACATTCACAGCAGGTGAAACGCACAGAGGCAGTTCTGTTCTGTCCTGTAGGGAGTCTCTATGTGCCAGGATTGACTGGATAACAGTATGAGTCTTGAGGTTTTGTTTTTTTTAAAGATGAGTTAAGACAGTGAAGTTTATTCCCATTTTAAAGTTGAGAAAGCCAGAGCTTAGGGAAGAATGACAAAATCATACAGCTTCTAGTGGATCCGAATCTGGACCTTCGGCTGTCCATCCAGGGCTCTTCTGGATTTTCCCAAAGTAGCTCTCCTCTTTCTCTGTGTTGTGACGCGAAGGAGCTGAAAGCTCTTGAAAGTGACCTGCACTTGTCATTGTGCCAGGAATCGCTGGGGAGCCTGAACACTGAAGCCCGGTGCATACCTGTGGACCGTGAGCCTGCCAGGGCTCTGTCCTCCCTGGAGGCTGGCCACCTCACAGGGAGCGTGCCTGGAGCTGTGGGGGCGCACCAGCCTGTGACTGGTAAGATCATCTGTTAATCTGGGGTGTTAGCACAATAAGAACCCTACAGGTGTTCTAAACGGGGTAGGGGGTGCAGAACTAGACTCTAAAGACAAATGGCAAATGAAGATTCTAGAAAAGCTGCCTGCATTTAGGAGTCCCTGAGGTATGGGTTGGGCTGCTTCACCCACCAGCCATTGTGAGGGGAAAGGATGAAACTGGCTACTCCCGTAAAAATGTGCCGTCTTGGAAACCATAGGGAGCAGTTCTGCTCCATCCTGTGGGGCTGCTATGACTTGGAATTGACTTGGTGGCAGTGGCTTTGAGGTTCGGGTGGTGCACATGGTGAATGCTTTCGGCTGTTCAGGAGTTGGCAGTGGTTGCTGTCACCTTGTTCTCAAGATTCAGTTCTTATTGCCATAGAAACTGCAGGTGATGTGGGGGGGGTGAAGTGGCTACAACACTTGTGATGACAAGAACAGACATTATGGCCGCTTTGCACTTCAACGTCAGACCCATAGCTCCTAAGAAAGTCCCTAACCCTGGCTTTTCTGAATACTAGTTTTAGTTTCCTTTCTCCTGCCCTCCGGGGTGGCAGATTAGCTGACAGTCCCTCAGGGCTGTGTGAGGAGAAGTCCAGGCTGGCTCTGGAAACCCACCTCATGGAAAGACTGGATTTCCCATAGTCCCAGCCTGAGTCCTCCTTCCTCTGAGGCTTCCGGTTCTTTCTTGCTTCACTGCCTTCGTTTCATTTTTTTCTCTCTCTCTTTTTGACATACTCTGGCTACCCTCCAGAACCCCATTCAGGGCCCCATCAAGTCAATCCTGATGCATAGCTACCCTTTAGAACAATAGAACTGCTCCTTAGGGTTTCCAAGGCTGTGAATCTTTCCAGAGACAGCCTCCTCTTTCTCTGTTGGAGCAGCTGGTGAGTTTGGACATTGTAGTTAGCAGTTGATCATGTTAACCATGGTGCCACCAGGACTTCCCCACTCCTCTGTTGAGGCTCCCAGGATTATCTGACCTAAGTAGGTTAACACAGGACCGAAGCTCAGTCTAGATGCGCCCCTCCACCTGTAGGAACAGGAAGGCCTTGCAGTTTAGAGCCGGGACTGTTTTTTAGGAAAGGAGCCCTGGGGGGGCAGTACTTACACATTGGCCTGCAATAAGCAAGGTCAGCAGTTCAAAACCACCAGCCACTCCAAAGGAGAAATGTAAGGCTTTTTGCTCCTGTAAAGAGTTACAGTCTCGAACTTGGTCAGCCGCGAGCGTACAATGGACGGTCAAGGCGACGGCGAGAACAGCAGCGTGCCTCAGGGGGAAAATCCGCCTGTCCCTGAGTTCCCCGGGATCGTGGCCAACCCACTGATGGGGGATGCGGTGTCCGACTGGTCTCCCATGCATGAAGCGACAGTCCACAGGCGCTGGCTTTCTTTGGAGAACCTCATCCAACAGGGCTGGCCTGTCAACCTCTTCACCACGGAAGGTGTGTCCCCTCTGCATGAAGCCTGTCTTGGAGGCCATACTTTATGTGTCAACATCTAACTGTGACCCATTCCGCGGGTCATCGAACAACGTGGATACCTGAAAAAGGGACTGGGAATGAAGAGGGGCAAGAGACGCGAGAAATGGAGGCAAGACAGGAGTCTGATCAAGCCTCAATTTATTGAGCA